ACACACACACACACACACCGGCCCACACACACACACACACACACCCCCACACCACCCCCACACACCCCCCCCCCACACACACACCACCCCCACACCACCCCCACACCCACACACCACCCCCACACCCTCCCCCCCCACACACACACCCCACCCCCCTCCCCCCCCCACACACACACACACCCCCACTGCAAACATGTTTGATTAATGTAGATGTGCTGATTGTACCCCGAGCTCAGGTTTTTTTGTATATAAAAAAATTAAACTAAATAGTATCAGCAGCAAAGACGGCATTTCAAAAGGGAATGGGATGGGAACAACATCAACAACAACTTGCGCTACTTATACAGCGCCCTCCACGCAGGGTAGTGTCTCAGAGTGCTTAACAGTGGCGGAGCCTGACTCTGAGCCGGGGGTGTGGGTGGGGTGGGGGGAAGGTGGCTATCAGCACGGTCAAAGAGGAAGGTACTTGAAAAGGNAAAATTTGCAAACAGATGGGTAAAGAACGGGGCAGTGGGACTGATTTGGTAGCTCTTCTGGCACAGGCACGATAGGCCGAATGGCCTCCTTTTGTGCTGTAATATTCTACCTTTCCAGTCAATCTCCACTCTTGTCTGTAATCTCTCCTGAATAGGATTGCCACCGGGCTGGTTTTTAACTGGTTATGAACCGGCCTGACCAGTTTTTGTACTGCCTTGTCAGTTGCCAGTGAAAAAGTGTTACGTGTCATTCTTTTGGCAAATCCAATGAGCACATTTGAATAATAATCCTTGCATTTTTGCATTTGACACAGCGCCTTCTCACATCTTCAAGACGTCTCAAAGCACTTCACAGAATATACTGTAAAGTGAATTAACTGTTTATTTTGTGGTCGAAACGTGGCAGCCAATTGCACAAGGCAGTGTACCACAAACAGGCGTGGGTTGAGTGACCAAATTATTATTATTCTTTTGAACATTAACCATTTGAATGGAAGTGTGAATCTCACACTTTAGTTCAAATGTTTTATGTTAGATGTTTTGATGTGCAGCTTGAATAGATACAGTAGATCAAATAGATTCAATTTGTATCTATGCACATTAAAGATCCCATTTAATGTTGTGCTCAAGGAATTAAGTCAGAAAGTCCTGAGAGGATTGGTGTTACTTGGTTTCTGAACATAGGTGGGGGTTTGCTGAGGAGGCACTTTTCGAGTCGGTGGCTTTTTTTTTGTGTCTCTGCCTTTTTTGCATCTGGGAGGTGGCAAACCTATCTTTGAACCATATTCAGGGTGTTCACAAATCCTGTTACCTCCATATTATTTTTGTACAATGCGCTGACCAACAACTGAAACGTGGAAGAATGATGCTAATTGTATTTAGAAGTAGTTAATTGTATTCAGTACAAGTGTTTAACTGTAGTTAGACATCCAGAGGATCTGTATGTGTGAGTGAGCACCATAGTTTTCATGGCAGATTATGATCCCTCACAATGTTCAGTGCCATATCTTCTGTAACATGGATGGAGTCAGTGAGGAAGAAATTACTGGTATAAGATATTGTTACACTCGACTCATCTGCAACAGAAATTAAAAATTCACTGTAAGAAAAAAAACAGGGGGTGCAGGACTTGCTGAATTCCCTGTACAATTGTTCCAAGATCAATTGCAGTCTCTACGCTATTCGTTGATCTCAGTTGGGATGGCAGAAAAGCCATTTCAGTTGACCTGAGCTCCCTGGACTGCGGAGGGGAAACAATAAGCTCATCACAATCCATCAAACCATGCTCGAGATTACCAAGCATTTCCAAATGCCAAACAGGATTGGGGTCTGGCTGCCATACGCCTGCAGTTGAATTAATTTGGGAACACTCACTGTCGAGTTTCACACCTGAAATAACACCCACGAGAGTGAGTACCAGATGCTGACCTGTGCCCATGGAATCGTACCCCAGTGGAAAGAAAAGAGAAATCAAGCGCCTTCAGTAAAAGGGAAGAGGGAAAGTTAGTGAGGAAAAACAGAATGAAAAGGTAGGAGAGGTCAGAGTCCTTTAAAGGTGAGAGTTTGGCTGAGATTCTACCCTCTTATGGGCATATAATACAGTGAACAGGTTGAATAGGCGAGCGTCACTGAGCTAACCGTTGAGAGTGCCTTTCTTTCACTGTGTAACCCAACGCTATTCTCAGTAACAAAGGGAGTTTGCTTCAGATATTTCAGATCAGACATTTCAGACGAGATCTTTAGCTGTACAATGTATCCGGTGTCAAAACAGCAGTCAATTCAATAGCTACATTATCCATTAACTTTTCTATCATCTTGCACAAAAATCCCAATTTGAAATAAAAGTTGTTATAGACTCATAGAATTATACAGCACAGAAGGAGGCCATTCTGCCCATCATGTCTGTGCTGGCTCTTTGGAAAGAGCTATCCAAATCAATCCCACTCCTCCATACTCTCCCCAAGCCCTGCGAACTTATCCTCCCCAAATATATCTATTCACTTTCTCTTTTGAAAGTTGTTATTGAATCGGCTTCCACCACCTTTTCAGGCAATGCATTCCAGATCTGAACAACTCGCTGTATGAAAAAAATTCTCCTCACCTCCCCCTCTGTTTCTTTTAAAAACTATTGTAAATCGGCGTTATTTTTGCACAGTAAATAAATGTAAAATGTATAGCTTAGAGGCAGAGTTTAGAAAGTGTTATGAAGAGAGAGACTGGATAATGGACTAAACAAATGCTTGTTACAGGAGTAGGAACCTGATCGAGCAGCTTTTGTGCACAGTTGGCACATCAATAGCTAATCAGTAGTAATCCACCCTGTATATACCATGGGCTTAATATCCATAGAATAACAATAAAACTGCCTATTAATTCCTGAGTTTGTATGAAATGATTGACATGGCTCTTGACAATGCATTTAGCTGATCTAGTTTCAGCATGGCTCTTTCCTGTACAGAGATGAACAATGAAACCTGAACGAAAAAAAGTTTCAAGCCTCGGTAACATTTTTCATCGCCGGTGAACAGGCTAACTTCATTTTGCCAATTTCTCCCACTCCTATTCTGAAGATTTTCTGAGGGTGTCGGCTCGTGGTTGTGTAACAGTCGTTCTCCAGTTCCTGCTCAATTGGTCATTGTTATTGTGGGAGTTCATACATTGAACATTGCACACTGTTCAACCGTTAGGGTGTGTGGGAAGGAGAGGATCACAGTTAATCCCAACTCTGTCTTCACCAGACATTTATATATATATATATATATGTGTGTGTATTTACTTCAATATAGATTTAGTGTTTAGGATTATTAGTATTATTTTTCTCCCCACTGGCAAATGCCTCTCTGCTCCTGGTCTGGCCCCCTCTTATTGGGGTGTTACTCACGAAACTACCCCATGCAGGCTGATTGCCTGAGAACTGGTACCTTAATAAAAATAATAATAATGCTTGTATTTGATATAGGACTTCTCATGTCATCAAGACATCTCAAAATGCTTCACAGGATATATTGTAAAGTGGTTTTGACTGCGTATTTTGTGAGCGAAATGCAGCAGCCAGTAGCACACAGCAATGTCATCCATCAACCACGGAATAAGTAAGTGAGCAATTTTATTTTAGGAATTATTGGCCAGGACACCGGGAGAGAGAAACTCCCTTTTCTTTTCAATTAGTGGAATTTTTAACATCCATTTGAATAGGCAGACAGGATCTTGGTTTAATATCTCATCTGAAGGACAGCTCCTCCAACAATGCAAAACCCCCAGCTTAGATGATGTGGGACTTAAACCCACAACCTTCTGACTCAGAGGCAAGATTGGGACCACTGAGCCAAGATGAGACACATTGTTCACATGGCAATGAGTGTCAGCAGACCATTTGAGAGGGTATCACACCCTAGCCTGACTGCTACCCACCCAGCTGCCAGCCCCTCTCCCCACACGAACATAAAAGCAGGAGAGGGTGCTGCAGGAGCAAGAATCCTGGCTGCTTAACCTTGGGAAGACGGAGTTCATTTAGCTTCCCAATGCAGTACACAGCAGACAAGAGAAGGCCTTCATCTAAACCAACTAGGCTGCATTCAAACCCATACTGAACTCTGCCTGTCCCCAAACTCAACTGCAGAATGTGGGCTATGTGATCAGGACAAGGACATGACATGTAAAGGCTGCCAAGTGGTGCACAGTTTGGAATGTAAGAGTCAATTGTTTCAAAACTATGCATTTCAGCAATGTTGGAAATTGATAACCATTTAGAAAGACAATCAGACATAAGATGGAAAAATATCTTTGACACGACTTCTAAACTATGTTGCAGAACAATCTGTAAATGAAAATGCACGCGGTTTTATTCTGATATTCAAGCACTTGTTAAGGACAATTCGATATCTTTTATTGGATTGCACACTCGTGCCATTGTCTACCCTGTCCTTGAAGACAACCTAAATAATATAACACAAGATTCAAATAAGAGTAGAGATTGGAAGAATATTTTTCTCTCTAGAACAGTAGGTATGTGGAATAGATCCAGGCAAACGCAGTTCATGACTGGAGCAATAAAGTCAAGCAAAAAATTCTAACAGCTTAGCCACTCCCTCTGTTCAGTGGACTCTGGCCTGCTTCATGTTTCCCGGCCTCCCCACCCTACCATCCGCAGTGGGCCTTCAGCCGCTCTGCCTTCAGCCTTTGGAGCTCAATCACACAGTCCCTTCGACTCGCCCCCTCCCTGTCCAGCACCTTGGAATGTCCTCCCAATGTGAAAGGCACTACACAAATGTAATTTGTTGTTGTTTTCATCATTCCGATGAGACATTAAACCGAGGTCCTGTCTATCTTGTTCAGGTGGGCGCTAAAAATTGCACTACATTGTGAAGAAAAGAAGTGCGTTTCTCCTGGTGTCCTAGCCAACAATCCTCCAGAATAATTGGTAGTCCACTTCATAACTGTTTGTGGGACTTTGCCATGTACAAAATGCATGGCGTGTTTGCTTACAAATATATTTACTGTACTTGAGACTAATTACAGTAAAGCATGGAGTTGTTTCAACATAATGGCTAAATCTTCATAGCAACAAAAGTGAGGTGACAGCCTTGAGATCGCTGTTCAATAAAGATTCCACTGATTTTAAAAAACATTCCTGATTTAGAGCCATTATTTTTGAATAACGCAACACACTCTGGCTGTCTGAATGTTTAGTGTTTTTTTTTAATCTGAGAGAGTATACAGTAATAAACAGGAACCACGTCAACAACAGAGCTGCTCATGAAATAAACCTTTGGTGAAGGACTCCAGGGATCGCAAGTGCTAAAACTAAGAAAATGACATGTGCAGAGAAGCAAACAAGCTTTTCCCTGATGGCCTAGTGGGTAAAGGCACCATCTGATTATACAGTCAGCTACACAAGGTTATGAATTCAAATCCCAATCATTTAAGAAACAGCTTGAATCTAATGCAGGAAGACAGTAAGATGCATACTCCGGAAGAATGAGATAGTCCTCGCTCATCCAAATCTTTCATATTTCATTGCTGTGCACGTACATTGCATATGCCAGGTCACATCATGTGATTCAGTCAGTACTAGTCACGAAAGAATGTCTGCTGGGACCTCTGTTGTTTTCTAACTGCAGTACGATAGCTATTTCTATCTGAAGATAGAAAAACACGGAAGTTTGCTAATGATATCAAATTAAGGGGGTGGTAACTGTTAGGAAGAACACAGCAAACTGCTGGACACAGACAGCTTAAAAATAAACGTAGAACACTCTTTCACATGTCAAAGCGCTTCACCAGATACACTGTAAAGTCGTCTATGAAGCGCTTTGAGACGTCTCGATAACCTGATAAGGTGCTATATCAAATGCAAGGCCAATTATTATTTTTACAGTGGCTGAATTTTGTAAGTAGCTTTGTAGGGAGTGCACTTTGGTACATTTCCAGTATATGAAGCGTGGCAGTGGCTTTACCCACAAGGCCAACATGGGATCTCTTTTTGAATTGATTCTCCCCCTTTCCTAGTTCACGTGGTCTAACTCTGCAGTAAGAGGGTAGGTGGTTACCAAGACCTCTGTGACCGTCGGTCTGAGTTTCCCTCTCCCTTTATCTCCATTATCGGAAGATGTCACTCACTGTCTCTCTTTGCCGCTTTGATGGAGAACAGAGAGGGGTTAGGGGGTGAAAGCTGGCATTCGCTCAGAGATGCCCTGGATTACAGTTCTAACAAGCATTAGAGGGCCAACAAAGAGATTGTTCGAGCACCTAGGCACATCTGACAGCAGGGAGGCAGAAAGGCAAGGCTGGAGCTGGAACCACAATATCTGTGAAGATGGGTTGATAGTCTTCAGGAGGCAACTGCGTGTTCTGTTCCAACATCTCCAGTACTGTTCCACGAACATCTTTGGAGACATCTCCCCTGATATCTAGCAGCACTGAAACATGTTCATCACTGAGAGAGACATGCAAATCATATTTAGCACAGCGAGTCTCTCCCACCACCCAAATCACCCGGCATTCTCCATTGTATATCCTATCTTATTATGTAGTAGTTCGCTGCCTCACCTCCTCATTGTACAGCTGTCCCCGCACCTAATGTCACAGCCCACCCCCCCCATATTGTAAAGCTTCAGAGTTCAAACATTGAGTTACTTTGAAATGAAGGGGTGTTATGTAGGCAAAGTGTGGCTACTGATTTTCACCAACGACATCCGACAAAGTAATAAAATGAATTTTATACTAAAAAATACTAATTTGTTCATATGGATTTGGATGAGGGAGGTATATTAGCCAGGATAGTGAGAGAATTCCCTGCATTTCTTTAAATTAGTGCCATAGGATCTTTAACATCCACGAAAGGTAAATGCAAACTTGTTATTTTACTATTGCATCCAAAAGACAACAATATATTCCAATAATATAACAACATACAGCACTCTCCCAGTACTGCAGCGGAATTGTCAGCCTAGACTGAGAATTCAAATCCTGGAACCGACAACCTGGTGACGCAGAAACAATTCTTGAAAAAACTGGGCTAAATGTTGGTAACTAAAACTATGTTTTTTTGGCGAGCTTGAATCCGCTTTCCAGGACAAATTTGTGTCAAATTGCATTACCAAATGGGGTCCACTAGAGAGTGCTTAAGCCCCATACTGTGGCCAACATGTGGTACCTCTCCTTACAGTACAATCCAGACATTGATCACATGGACAACGAGAGAATACAAATGCAATATGTAATGGACATTTTGTGATGGAATCAAATAATTCTGATCATTTAGGTACCCGGAGAGGGAAGAGGACCAGCAGAGCTCAAAGATTGAATTACCCATCACAGCATCAAACTGTTTTTAAATGTGTCCAGTGTCCTGGCCTCAATCACCTTTCCTGGAAACTATCTCCAGCTATTCATTACCCTCCTGAGAAAGAAAAGCTTCCTGTTTGTGACTGTTCTGAAAATGCCCTTTGCAACTTTAAATCCATGCCCTCTTGTTGTACTGTCTTGCAGTGCTTTCTATAGTATTATTCTGCATTCACTTTTGCAATCCCATATAAATTTCCCCCCTAAGGTTTCCTCTGAAATCTTCTCTCAAGACTGAAGGGCCCAAGCTTGTCTACTTGTTGGTCATAGTTCATTCCTCTAACACTGGGGATCATCCATTTTTGCCCTCCATTGTACTGTACCCATACCTTATATTTGTCTGCAGCCCGACCCCAGCTGCAGCCGGGATGTTAAGCTGCCTGCAGGAGTAAGAAGAACTTACTCTGAACTTCGCTTGTGATTTTGTGAGTTAGGGCGTTTCAATTGCTCTCAGAATCTCTGATTTAAGGAGGTCCATGCTGAAAAGTCCACCAGGATTCCCGTTCCTGATCCCTATCCAGTGACCGGGTCTAGAAAGTATGAATATGGACAGGATCTCTGTGATGATGCTCTCCAGTCAGGTGACTTGTGATACTCATTGTGTGGATAGACATGTGAGTGAGGTATTGGAGTGGATAGTGCTTGCACATGGCACTGTACACCAACAGAATTCAGCAGTTTCCAAATAACCTATATTATTTATAGCCCTCTCAAGATACTGCAGAAATAAACCCAAATGTGTATCTTGCCCACAGCTCTAACTGCAGAGTGCAGCCAACACCACAAATGGCAGATGACTTTGATGGTCGCACATGTTGGTTTGCAGGTTACCTGATATCTGGGTATTTAGTGACCAATCCCGAGACCTCCAAGCCCAGGAGGGAGGTATCCGTCAGTCTGAGAAGCTCGGAGACGGAGGAGATCACACTGGTCAGGTGATCACAATCATCCAAACCCTGTAGGTAGAAGGGGAGGAGTAGTGACCATCTGAGACAAACTGCAACTCTCTCTCCCTTATAATCGGATTTGGTTTAGATAGGCTTAAGCCCGCTGATGGGCGTCTGCGTGCGTCAGCCACCCAGCTGACCAAAAAAAAGAAAATCCCTTATAATTATGTATTTGTGTTGCAAAATCTGTAAAAATAACAAATTGATCAATTGCTTCAATTTACAAAAACTGAAGCCTCCATTGACACACTCGAGAATTACTCTGCTTCAATAATAATAATCCTTGCATTTGATATAGCGCCTTACCACATCTTCGAGACATCTCAAGGCGTTTCACAGAATATACTGTAAATGAACTTGCCGTATATTTTGTGGGCGAAACGCAGCAGCCAATTGCATACAGCAGTGTCCCACAAACAGTCGTGGATTGAGTGACCAATTTATTAATTTTTTTTTGAAGGAACTATTACTCCCAGAAAAGCGATCCACCAATCGACTAATAACCTATTTACTGCTAGGTAAACAGAGGTGTGTGGAGTAAGGAAATTTGCCCAACATTTCGCCTGCTGGGAATTAAACCCAGGTCTCTCGCATGTGAGGCGAGTTCTCTAACCACTGAGCTACAGGAATCCACCCATTAATTAATGCATTTATGTTCCTGAAGCACTGTGGAGAATCTCTGGCCTTGCTGCTCCCTGACTTACCAGCTTATGGAAAATTGCACGCAGTTGCACTGAATCCCGGCTCATTCTTTCTGACACCTTCTCCCGCTCCTCAGGATTCTTACACACCATCTTCTTGAGCATCAGGGTCTGCACATACTCGATGATCAGCAGGCGCAGACCCTCCACCAGCAGGAACTGCCGAAGACACACGGACATTGAAACCAGAAATAGTTCTGTGCCCCGTCGACTACCCCACACACATTCCCACTACTCCTCAGTATCACACCCAAGGGTGAGGTGCTGTTATTTACAGGTGAGCTTAGACTGTGAATGCCTCAGGTTATTTGATCCTGGGGCATCAATGCCAAACCCAATTTGTCCTTTCTATGACTATGACTTCTATGATACTATATCCTATGACTTCTATGATACTACATCCTTCCTGGACACTCAACTGAGTGTCTAGGAAAGATAGAGAGGATATAGTATCCTAGAAGTCACAGAATCATAGAAATGTACAGCACTGAAGGAGACCATTCGATCCATCGAGTCTGCACTGACTCTCACAGCAAGGTGGTCATGCATTCCCACTACCTCACCCTATCGCTTACCTCTACCAGCCTCTATCCTGGCTGACAAGTGGCTGGTAAATTGGGTGATAAAATTAGAATAAACTGCTTTCTCCTCCCTGGCGTTTCGCATTGATGATGTCAGCAACATGGAATGCTTTAAACTAACATATGGAACCCAGTAAGGAACCCAAAAAATCCAATTTCGGAAGCGTTTGATTTCGAAAGGAGCCACTGATTATGAGCCATCCCCTTTAAGAGTAAACACTTCAATACCATTTCCTGCCAGTAGATAGCAGTGGTGCATCACAACAATAATAATAATAATAACGTCAATCAGTAACACAGTTGGTCTGCATAGGGATGGCACCACCTTCACCTTCTTAAAGTGTCTGTATTGTATTTCTATTGAGTGTACTGGCTGGTCTCACCTGGAAGATGGGCTCCCTGATCCGGCTGAAGTAATTGTAATACGTATCCAAGACTGTACAGACACCATCAATAAAATCCGAGCCACCCATCCACAGGCAGGCGAGGAGCTGCAGGAAGAGAGGCTACAGGAACAAACACACACACAGTGAGGTTTAAGATCAAAAACTGTATACAACGCACAACTCACTGTGAACTTTGCATTCTTCAAGATTAGGAATACAGCCAGTGTCAACATGACCATTCCCAGGGTAATAATATAAAAAATAATCTTTGCCTTTTATACACAGCAGTGGAGGCCAATCCTTGACCCGGGGGCTAGAAGTGCCCCTAAGGGTTGTCAAGAGACAATATAGGAGGCAATACAGACTTGGAAGCTCAATCTTAAGGGGGGTGAACGTACAGAGAGATCTGGGTGTTCAAGTAAGCGATTCATTAAAGGTCGCGGGACAGGTAGATAAGGCAGTAAAAAAGGTGTTTGGTGTACTGAGCTTCATTAGTAGGGGCATAGAGTATACGAGCAGAGAGGTTATGGTTAATCTGTTACAAAACACTGGTTAGGCCTCAGCTGGAGTACTGCGTCCAGTTCTGGGCACCTTACTTCAGGAAGAACATTAAGGCACTAGAAAGGGTGCAGAGGAGATTCACGAGAATGATACCAGGAATGGGGAACCTTAGCTATGAGGACAGGCTGGAGAAGTTAGGACTTTTCCCATTAGAGCAGAGAAGCTTACGCGGGGACCTGACAGAGGTCTTCAAGATCATGAAAGGTTTCGACAGGCTGGATAGGGAAAAGCTGTTTCCGCTGGTAGGTGTGTCTGTGACACGTGGTCACAGTCTTAAGATATCTACCAAAAGAAGCAGAGGGGAGGTTAGTAGAAATGTTTTCACTCAGTGAGTTGTTCGAATTTGGAATGATCTGCCTGAAAGGGCAGTGAAGTCCGATTCGATAACAGCTTTTATGAGAGAACTGGATAGGTATCGGGGGAAGACGGGTTTGCAGGGTTATAATAATAATAATATTCCTTGCATTTGATATAGCGCTTTTCACGTCGGGAGGACGTCCCAAAGCGCTTCACAGAACACACTGTAAAGTGAATTGACTGTATATTTGTGGGCGAACGCGGCAGCCAATTGCGCACAGCAATGTCCCACAAACAGTCATAGATTGAAAATGACCAATTTATTATTGTTTTTTGTTTGGTTTTGGAGGGATTATTATTAGGCTCTGTGTGGAGTAAGGAAACTTGCCCAAGGTTTCGCCCTGACCTGACGGGGATTGAACTCAGGTCTCTCGCTTGCAAAGCGAGTGCTCTAACCACTGAGCTACAGGACTCCACATGGGGAGAAAGCTGGTGATTGGGGTTAGTGAAAGTGACTTGCTCTGACTCGATGGGCCGAATGGCCTCCTTCTGTGCCGTAACATTCTATGAATCTATGAAAAGAAGCACCCCCAGCACCTCTCCCCCCACCCACCCACCTTCACACACACACACATGCACTAGTCCAGGTAAATCAGTGTCCAATTAAGCAATGGGTTTCCAGATTTTTCTCGAGTGAATTTTCTTGATCAGTAGCGAATGTGAATACAGCCATGCCCCACAAACAGAGAAGTGATTTGTTTATTTGGGACGTCCTCCTGACGTGAAAGGCGTTATACAAATGTAATCTTGTTGTTGTTATTATCTGAGGGAATACAGACCGGGCCCAGGGAGAAACTCTCAATACAGCGTGGGTTAGATACAGAGTAAAACTTGCTGTACACTGTCTGATGCAGCATTCCTTACCTCTCTGACCTTCTCACTTCCCAATCCACCACCCGGCGCTTCCACTCGACTGGCACCGGCCTTCTGCTCGACCCTCACACCCTCCACCCCACCATCGGAGGTCGCGTTTCAGCAACTCCACCCAAAACGCTGGAACATTCTCCCTCAATCCCGCCACCTTGCCCCCCTCTCTCCCCTCTTTCAAGTGCCACCTGAAAACTTTCCTCTTTGACCGTGCTTACGGCCACCTGCCGTTCTGTGTCATGTGGCACCTTCGGGGATTTGGCATTCCTGAAGACAGATGAGCCTCTGCCAGCACTGGATCAAACAAACATCATTCACTGACATGCAGTTGCTCCTCTGAGCGAGTGACAAACCTGTAGTTCTGACAGCATCCTGTCAATCAGCAGCCGGCAGCCTTTCTTCAGCACCTTGTCTAGGGTGGTCTCAACGTGGGGTAACTTGCCACCGCGCTCCCCGGCCCAGGCCTGACCATAATGATCTTGTAGCCAGTGCACAGACTGTCTGCAACAGAAAGGAGCAGTGTCACTTGCAATAAAGCCCTCTTGGGTTGAACACAGATGGGTGACTCCTGAAAAGGGGAACTACAAAGTTGCAGCAACCTATTGGATACAGATTACAGCTTTCTCCCCATGTGGAGTCCTGTAGCTCAGTGGTTAGAGCCACTTTGCAAGCGAGATTCCAGGCAGAGGGCGAAACCTTGGGCAAGTTTCCTTACTCCACACAGAGCCTAATAATAATCCCTCCAAAACCAAAAACAATAATAAATTGGTCATTTTCCATCTACGACTGTTTGTGAGACATTGCTGTGCACAATTGGCTGCCGCGTTCGCCCACAAATATACAGTCAATTCACTTTACAGTGTGTTCTGTGAAGCGCTTTGGGACGTCCTCCCGACGTTAAAAGCGCTATATCAAATGCAAGTATTATTATTATTATTATTATTATTAAAGCTTCCTCTACACTGTCTGATCCAGCATTCCCACATCAAGTACAGAATGTGTTAGACACAGAGTGAGACACAACTCATCCAGCGCTCCCAGGTCAGGCACAGCTGGCATTCCTAGGAACAGATCTAATCTGGGCAGGCTAACTTGACCCTTGGGTTTGGGGTTCTCCGCATCAGGAGTGAACCATCTGTCTCCTACCTAAAAGCAGAGGATATTATTCTCCCCCAAGATGGAGCTTGTAAACCATGTTCCTAAGTCATTCACTCCTTGATTTTCATCCACTTTTCCCCTGTACAGAATCCCTGACTACAGCTCAGTCCTGTAGCTCAGTGGTTAGAGCACTCGCCTTGCAAGCGAGTGACCTGGATTCGATTCCCAGGTAGGGCGAAACATTGGGCACGTTTCCTTATTCCGCACGCCTCTGTTTACCCAGGAGCAAGTAGGAACCCGGTTGTTAATCAATCGCTTTTCCGGAGTAATAATTCCTTCAAAAAAAATTGGTTAATCAATTTACGACTGTTTGTGCGACGCCGCTGTAAGCAATTGGCTGCCGCGTTTTGCCCACAAAATATATATGGTATATTCAGTGAAGCGCTTTGAGACGTCGCGATGTGATAAGGCATTATAACAAATGCAAGAATTATTATTATTATTACAGCACAGAGAGGGAGTGTAGGAGCTGAGACAGTGAGTTAGCAGATCGTCAAGCCTCCCAACTGAGCCCGATCCCATCCTCATCCGACATCCACTCACGTGATTGGTATCTTTGGCAGAATTTTCTCCACCTCAACGCTGACTGATGGCGACCCTGACTCTGAGATCAGCTGACGCAGAAAATCAGACTCAACCCTGTGACTTTCTGGGTCTGTTTTTCCTCTTAGTTTAATGCTGAAACATTGCGCTTGGTCCTCTGTGCCCTTGCCCTCCCTAGGGTAATTGTAAGCCTCACTTTGCAGGGACAGAAAGCAGCTATTCAGGTAACACTATTTCCCAATCCTCTTTCGAAAGTGCTGGCTCCTGTGCAGCAACCTCCACTGTCACCCTGACTAGATCAACTAAGATCAACAGAGTGAGCAAGAGCTCAAGCTCCGCATGGCTGAGTTCCATACAGTTACAGGGAACCAAATGGGTGTAGACCCATAGCTAGGCTGTTCCTGTACACGCTATAAAGCACCCAACCAAAATACCCGAGTGGTCACAAGGTTCTTACACCTCTGTCTGTACCTGAGGACGATGCAGTTGTTTACGGCAGCCAGCAGGTAAAGTAGGTAATACTGAGATCGGCCAGTCGAGTGTTCCCTCCCGAAGTCTATCACAGCTTCTCGGAACCTAATGTATAAATAAATATAATGATAAAATATGAGGATAAAATATAATCACCAGAGCTTTTTCATAATGCTCTGGGGATTATGCCCTGTTGCCAAATTGAGGATCAATTGTAGAGTCCTGTAATGTATTGGTTAGAGCACTCGCCTCGCCTAGTGAGAGGACCTGGGTTTGATTCCCGGCTGGGTCAAAATGTTAAGAAAGTTTCCTTACACAAGCCTCTGTTTACTTAGCAATAAGTAGGACACAGGTTGTTAGTCAATTGGCAGATTGCTTTCCAGGGGTAACCACACTGAGACGCTACCCTGCCTGAAGGGCGCTATATAAGTACAAGTTGTCGTTGTTAATAACCCCTTAAAAAAAATTCACACAAAAAATATAATTTGGTCACTCAATCCACGACAGTTTGTGGGACATTGCTTTGCACAATTGTCTGCTGCATTTCGCCCAGAAAATATACAGTCAATTCACTGGAATAACCAGTAAAGTAGTCAAGGGAGGCAAACCATTTTTCCTTCATGATCCTTATCATCAAGCTCATATCCTGAAGCTCTGAAAAGTTTCTGTCTAACACCTCACCCCAAAAAAGACAAATGAAGCCAAATATTTCACCAATACCACTTTTAAACATTAAAATATCGAATAATAATCCTTGAATTTAATATAGCATATTTTCACACCATCGAGACATCTCAAGGCGCTTGCCAATGTTTCTTTCAGCCCTGGCTAAGATCAGCTGAGTCAACGCATAGCGAGCAAGGGGAATGCTCTGGCTCTGCATGGCTTATTTCCATAAAATTACTAAACACAGCAAAGTGCAGTGATCGTGTGATTGTAGGCAAACTCGGCGGTTAAATGCACATAACAATGTCCCACAAACAGTCGTGGACTGAGTCATAAAACATTATTTTAAAAAAAGATTATTATCCCCCGGAAAGCTATCCGCCAATCAACTAACAACCAGGTTACACTTACTGCTACAGCCATGAAGTGAATGACCAATTTTATTTGGGAAATTGTTGGCGAAGTCACTGGGAGAATCGCCCTTCTCATTGAACTGTGCCATGGGACAGTTTACTCTTTGTCCAAGTGAACACACAAGCTCAACCTCAGTTTAACATCACGTCTGATAAGGCAGCACTCTGTCAACACTGCAATGGAGAGTCGGGGTAGATAATGAGCTCAAAGTCCTAATAAGGGGCTTGAACCAACCACCTTCTGACTCAGAGGAACAAGTGCTACCAACTGGGCCAGGCTGATACTTAAATACAACTCGTAGAGAATAACACTGGTTATAAACGCAGCTACATCTAATGAAGGCAGCACAAAGCAAGAGTCAACTGGTACAAAGTGTAATGTTTTTCGGCAAATGTACGACACCGATCTTACAGTGAAACCCATTGTCTTTACACCTTGAAGATTTGCTCTCTCGGGCATTACCTGTACAGAAAGGTCTCCAGTTCCTGCAAAGCCATAATCACTACCTGATCTCGCAGGGCAGGGCTGATCTCTGCTGCCACTTGGACATTTTCTTCCAGCATCTGCAAAATAAAGGTCAAAGATAGAGGTCAGCAGAGAGATACACAACCTGCAGAACATGAGCATTGAGAATCGTGAACACACTGCGGAGCCACAGTGAGCTGTAGATCCAGTGTCTGTTCATCTCAAGGTCTAATCACTGGGCTCAATAGACCATGTGAAAAGTCTGGTCTCTGAGATAAAAATAATCCTTGCATTTGATATAGCACCTTATCATGTCATTGAGATGTCTCAAAGCGCTTCACAGTAAAGTGAATTGACTGTATGTTTTGTGGGCGAAACGCGGCAGCCAATTGTGCACAGCAGCGTCCCACAAACTGTCGTGGATTAAGTGACCAAATCATTTTAATTTTTTTTAAATGATTATTACCCCCAGAAAATGATCCACCAATCAACTAACAACCAGGTTCTACTTACTGCTAGGTAAACAGGGGCATGTGGAGTAAGGAAACTTGTCTAAGGTTTCACCCTGCCCGGGAATCAAACCTGCTCTAACTAATACGCTACAAGATATGATGTCTGACTGGGGAATTCGCCTCTTCTTGATGAAAGCGTTTCTAGATTTCTCTTGCCATGCCTGACCTGGGAGTGGGCTGAATGGAACAATGCAGTGGGATCTTTACACTATACTTAATCCATGCTGTACATGGGACACTGTACCATAGAATCATAGAATTATACATCACAGAAGGAGGCCATTCGGCCCATCGTGTATGTGACAGCTCTTTGAAAAGAGCTTCCAAATCAATCCCACTCTCCCGAATTCTCCCCATAGCCCTGCAAACTTGTCCTCCCCAAATAATTATCTACTTTTCCCTTAAAAGTTGTTATCGAATCAGCTTCCTCCACCTTTCAGGTAATGCATTCCGGATCCCAGCAACTCGCTGTGTGAAAAAATATCTCCTCACCTCCCATTTCTTTTAACAACTATTTTAAATCAGTGTCCTCGAATTACCGACCCACCCACCAGTGGGAATAGTTTCTCCTTGTTCACCCTATCAAATCCGCTCATAATTTTGAAAACTTCTATTAAGTCTCCTCTTAACCTTCTCTGCTCCAAGGAGAATAATCCCGGCTTCTCGAGCCTCTCCTGATAATTGAAGTCTCTCATTCCTGGTACCATCCTGGTCAATCTCCTTTGCACCCTCTCCAATGCCTTGACATCCTTCCTAAAGTGTGGGGCCCAGAACTGAACACAGTCTCTCGCTGAGGCCTCACCAGGGTTTTACATAAAGGTGCATCATAACTTCCTGACTTTTGTATTCTATGCCCCTATTTAAAAGTCTAGTATCCCGTATGCCTTTTTAAAAGCTTTATCCACTTGTCCTGCCACCTTCAAAGATTTACTTATATGTACCCACAGGTCTCTCTTTTACATCACCCCCTTCCAATGTTACCTGTGTGACTATCACTGGCAGGCTGGAGTGGAAATAACCCTCGTGATCAGACTCAGGCTCCTCATCTCTGTACCAGTCATTCACCTCGGCATCCAGCGCTTTCTGCATCCAGTCTGACACCGAGACCTGGAGAAGAGGAAACAACTCAATGACTCTTCACTGCACCTGAATCCTAGCCAAGAGACCAGGAAGCTATCCTCAATAGCTGGTCAAATTCCTGAAAGTTTCCTCATTATCTTGAATATTCTGCCTCCCATTGTTCGTCACTTGCTCTGGAAAGTAGATTTCAGGAGCCAGGATAACATAAGAATTTTGGAACAAGAGGAGGCCATTCAGCCCATCGAGTGCACTCCCCCATCAAACACTCCCAACACTGCCACCCCCCCATAATCCCATCTCATTGAATTCCCTCCAAGCCACTAATAAATCAGCTCCCAAGTATCGAACTGCCTCTTTCTTGAATCCTCAATCGTCTCATCTAAGCTTTTCTTGTGTAGTTTTAGCATTCAAAATTAAGCAATAAAGATTGTGGAATGAAGATAAGAACAATAATCCTCACATTTGAGGCTCCTCGCCATTCATGTTATGAGGATGTCTCAAAGCCCTTCACTCGGTTCACTGTAAAATATAATGACTGTATTTTGTAGGTAAATGTGGCAGACATTTTGCGCACAGCAATGTCCCATGACATGAGACATTAGCCACAGTGACCGGGGATTGTCAATGGCTTGTAGTCTGCACCCTGGGGCCTATTCCATTATAGAGTCCATCAGCACCAGTCACCATAGCTGTTTGATGTCCTGTCATTGTTTCATGATTCCCACACAGAAAACACAAAGTTTCATCCCAATATCCTGCCGACTGTCAGCTGCAAACAGGAATGGGATTTCCTGCAAGAACTCATTAAAAGGAGAACATCCTCCGTGACACTTGTGGAAGCAGCCGGGAATGGGAGTGTGATGTTGACAGTGCGATGTTGACGGTGAGGTTGCTCGGGCCTGGGTAATGTCAGAGGGTAAATGGCAATTCCTGGAACAGCTGCTCTGGGAAGCTACTGGAACCTGGGAGGCAGCACTCAGGCAATGGACACCTTTCATTACCTTCACTGTGGCCATTACTCATTTGCGAGACTAGACACCTCCTCCCACCCCCCAGCTCAGCGTCAGGCTCCCCCACTGTGTTCTCCGAGACGCATGAAGGGCATTATATAAAGGCATTATATAAAGTTGTCGTAGACGTTTCACCCACAAAATATACAGTCAATTAACTTTTCAGTATTTTCTGTGAAGCACTTTGAGACGTCTCAAAGACGTGATAAGGCACTACATTAAATGCAAGGAGTATTATTACTATAAATTACATTTGTATAGCGCCTTTCACAGCAGGAGGACAAACCCAAGGCTGCACAGTGCGGCACAGCTATCCACCAAAACAGAGGAAATGAACAAAGTTGAAATGATAATGCCAATAATTTGTTTCGTCTTAGCACCCAACTAATTAGTTAAGAGGAAACCTCGCTGGAGCTAACACATGTGGCTGTACCCGCAGGGCGTTGACATATTTGTTCTGAAGTTGCTCCTGTGCATCTTGAGAGATCAGAGGAACCAGGGCACTGACGTCAACATCAGGGCACAGATCAGGGTGAGCCATCATTTCTGGGCTGCCAGGGAAGAGGAAAGAAAACAGGAAGTGGGGAATATGATAACAGAAAAACAGGAACAACATCAGATGAGATTAGCAATCCCAGACAATTACAAGACGTATTTTTAGCAACGATTTGTTTTGAGGTGTGGCCCCTTCCCCTCCTATCTGTCTTCCTGCCACATTCCGAGGTTTCTAGCGGTCACCAATAACATTGTGAAAGAGAGAGGCTCGATTTAGCTGCACTTCTGAAAGAAGCGCACAGGATATCCCCCTCTCTGCCCCCGGAAATATTCCTTGCCTCTTCTGAGTCTTTGCTCAAGGTATCCATACAACCATAGAAATTTACAGCACGTAAGGCAGCCAATCAGCCCACAGTGCCTTTGCCTCTGAAAAAAGCAATCTGTTTCAGTCTCTTCCTCCTACCTCTTCCCCACAATCGGTTATATTTCTCCTTTTCTGTCCCTGGGTCAATTTAGGTAACAAGATCTATTCTGCGGCACATGAAAACCGTATGTAAACTTAGCCAGATAATGCGCCATGTGTAAACATATTGTATAAAAGGATTGCTTGTTAACTGTACAAATAAAAGCACCTTTAATTCTTCTAGAATCATAGTGTGTTGCAGCACAGAGGAGGTCATTGGGCCTGTCACACCTATCCCAGCTCCCTGTAAGAGCCATTTGTTTGGCCCCCATCTCCTTGCCTTTTCCCCCAAACCTATTCATAATTTTCCTTTTCATATATTGATTTTATTCCCTTTATAAAAGCTATTAACAGGTCCTGCTTCAACCACTGCTTGTTGCGAGGCATTCTACATCCTAATAACAATTTGTTATATTAAAAAAACTCTCCCCTATACACATGCACGTGGCGCATTATAGATTGTCAAAACACAAGATTTTATCCTGTCCTGTCTGAGCCTGATCACTTCATGTGGACACTTTGCTGGTTTTATTATTTCCTCTCAGCAAAAATGTCTTGAGACATGTGGATGAAAGGTTTGCATCACTGCTCTTTCCTCTTGTTGTCTGCTGTAATGTTGCCAGCAGTCCTCCCGCCATAGCTTTGCTTGTTTTTTTAATTGAGGCGAGGGACAGAATCCAGGGCTTTTGTGGCCAAATCTTTTTGTCTAGGATCTCTCCCACAATGTTCACTGCTCCCAGTAACTACTAAATGGTTATGTAAGAATCTCCTTTCATGGAAGGGATTCGAGCAATCATGTTAATGACTGGGTCTCACAACCTAAGGGTCTTGTTGTGTTTGTCCCTTCATCTGCTCATTCTACCATCAGTCCCTGAACAATTACTGAACCAACAAGTCCATATAGTAATAATAATAATAATCCTTGCATTTGATATAGCGCTTTTCACGTCTTCTAGACGTCTCAAAGTGCTTCACAGAATAGACTATGAAGTGAATTGACTATATTTGTGGGCGAAATGCGGCAGCCAATTGCACAAAGCTGAGTCCCACAAACAGTCACGGATTGAGTGACCAAATTATAATAATTTTGAAGGGATTATTATCCCTGGAAAGCAATCCGCCAATCAACTAACAAGTGAGTTCCTACTTACTGCTAGATAAACAGATGCGTGTGGAATAAGGAAACTTGCCCAAGATTTCATCACGCCCGGGAATCAAACCCAGGTCTCTCGCTTGCGAGGACGAGTGTTCTAACCACTGAGCTACAGAACACTGCACTGAGCTACAATGAATCTACGCACCTTTTACCCAATAAAAAGCGCTGTGCAAAATCTAAATTGTTTGCAAAGGAGAGGGAATAATAGAAATAAGCCTTATGTATTTCACTGGTTAAAGTCCATCAAGACCTGTCATACTCCTGTTCTTATGATGCACTGTTTCCATTGGGATCTGATGTACCCACCCATCGATGACCTCTCACTTCTGACCTGTGGTAGACATGGAGGATCCAGTTCAGCACAGTGTAAATCTCGTTTTTCTCCAGGTCCCAGGAAATTATATCCTGCAGGTGTCCTGACAGGCACTTGTGGTGAAGCATCACATAGGTTTGAAGAATATTGTAGTGCGGCGGACAGCACTGCACCATCAAGTCCTTCACTATCTTCAAGTCATTGAGGATATTGTTCTGCAGGGCCCCAAGATGATTAGCCAGTCCAGGTCCTTTGGTATCAGTCTGCCGAGCTCGGAATTGTGCAGCCGTCGAACGCTCAAGAACATGGAACACTTTCCTCCTCAGATTTTTAGGCCTCCCTAAAGGAAGAAACTTGTGTTGGCTTTGACCTTCGAGAATAATCTGGTCGATTCTCTCTTCCCGCTCAATGATACGGATGGCGGAGACAAACAGGGCAGGGTCCTGCTTGACCAGAGTCAGCCCACAGGTTATGACGTCCCAGAGTTCTTTGGCAAGTTCTTCATTCAGCTGCCCAACTCCGCTGAAGTAAGACAAGACTACCTGCTCGCCTTCGCTGTTGTGCTGGCCGGCGCGGTTCAGCTGGTACAGTATGCTGTCCCGCCAGCACTCCAGCTCCATCAGCTTTGTGTGGGCCTCCAGGAGCCTCCGCTGCTCGATCAGCTGATGTGTTTCCATGACCACCTCGGGTACTGCAATCAAAGAGGCAAGTTCAATCTTCACGCAAATTTCAATTTGTTTTAAAAGCTGTTAGGTGCCTTTTGCCAATCGACAGCTTCTATGTGGGTCATTTTGGATGGATGTGAAAGTATTTGAATCAAACTGGGCTATTCTCAACACAACAGTCAAAGTCAAGCAATTGGGTTGGGTAGAGGGGGAGAGGAGGGAAACTTCCAAGGGTCTTGCTTCCATCACTCGAGCCAGGGAATTCTTCCCACTCAGCTCCTACTAACCCTGTTAGCTTAAATTCTAATGGGTAGGCTGGTCCTAGCTGAAGTACCAGTGGGAATCTTGGCAGTGTTCACAATGTCAAATTACACTGTTTGGGTTGGTTAAAATCCAGCTGTACCCCAACACATACTGTGAGGCCCCAAACTTCAGCTCTCGTCAACCTATGCTTAATACTTTCCAGTGAGGTGAGCAGGGGTGTAACCTTCCGGGAGAGGACACATTCCATTCCATTCCAGACACAGTGATATTTCAGAATTTCAATCTAGTTTTGGATTACTTTTAAACATGCTTACGGGTTTCTACATGTGTCAGATACCCGCTGACCAAAACAAAATCTTGATTTATTTAATTTTTCTTTTCAACTTTTCAATCTTATTATTTTCACGCTGCTTGTATACAATGTTCCACTTATTGATTAGGATGTTGCCAGCTTGGCTTAGCCGATAGCGCTCTTTCCTCTGGGTCAGAGGTGATGTTCAGTACTGGATGAGTGCTGCATTGTTCAGAGTTGTCTGTTTTGTTCAGATGGAGGTTATGATCGATTGGCACTATTCAGAGTGAAAGAATATCCCCCAGTGTCCTGGCCAACAATCCCCAAAATAAAATTGGCCCTTCACTTCATGCTGTTTGTGGGACATTGCTCTGTGCCTACAAATATATTTGAATGGACTTGAAAAGCAATTTAAGATGTTTCAACATTATAGGCGCTAATTCAAATGTACAGATTATTATTGTTTACATTAATGCTCCTTCACCACAAACAGCTGGAAGGTGAGATGTGTTGAGTTCTGTAAATTCTTGGCGTTTGATTTATAGGAAGCTTTTTTTAAAAAAAAATAGCAAATCCTAAACAAAAAAAACACTGCATTTTTGTTAATTTAATGAAGGTGCTCCAGTTACAAACACAATGACTTGTCTAGGTTCAGAGGGAAGACAAATTGCTCCCATGGAATATTTGTTTGCTCACTCTGAACAGGAAGGGCAGTAGACAGCACAAAGGAAACATACAATTGCCAGGCCACACACTGCCTTTTAGACGGTCAGTGCTGTCAACACTCACAGTTCAAAAATCAGATGGCAGGCCAAAAGAAATGGAAAGAATTGGCGGAGATGTCATGAGGTTTAATTGAAACTGAGAGAAAAGGAGAAAATTTGAGGAGAGGAACCAAGACTAACAACTGAGAAAAAGTTAACCTTGACTTTTTGTTAAAAATAAAGACTTATTTGCTAATTGCTTGGTTTTGAAGTGACAGGGAACTGGAGGCCTCAGCTGCCTCCAACCACTGAATGCTCTCTCTCAGGGAAAGACGCTTTATACTGAATAATAATAATAATAATAATCCTTGCATTTGATATAGCGCTTTTCATGTCAGGAGGACATCCCAAAGCGCTTCACAGAACACACTGTAAAGTGAATTGACTGTATATTTGCGGGCGAACGCGGCAGCCAATTGCGTACAGCAATGTCCCACAAACAGTCGTAGATTGAAAATGACCAATTTATTATTGTTTTTGGTTTTTGGAGGGATTATTATTAGGCGTGTGGAGTAAGGAAACTTGCCCAAGGTTTGCCCTCTGCCTGGAAGCAAAGAATGAAAAGAAGGAAACAGGAGGCTACTCAAAGCAAAAACGAAAGTGGTGATGGGAATAGTGAATCAATCACTCTTTACTCTGGTTACTCAATTACTCTCATTCATTCATTCTTCACCATCCCCACGCAACTCTCTCCCATCTCTCACACACACAATAGCACTATAGGCATGTTATCTAACCAGAGATTAGAGTTCCTTGAATTGGCTGGAAAGCAGATGAAGGGGAGTTTGTAAAGTGATTGCCCCCGGTCTTACCTGCCAATACTTGCTGTAGATTGTGCACTGCTGTAGCCAGCTGGACATGCTCAGAAACCAGGCTGCTCAGCTGTCGCAGGCTCTGAAAGCTGTTGAGTTTACTCTGCCAGTCCTCACGAACCTCGACCAGGGTCTCGCAAACATTGCCAATGTCATCGAGAGAAGCCCTTAAATGCCTGATCCCAATCCCGACCCCTTCCAAGTACGAATGCACAGCGGACTGTACAGACAGAGCAGAACACACTTCAAGAAAAACAGCGAGAATGAGTCTGTTACATCTGGAAACTTACCACATGGTTGACCAGACAACAAACCACCGACAACAAATGTTAATTTTCTCTCCTCTAATTTTCTTCCCCTCCTCTCCTGAATCCCCAAATTCCTCCATCCTCTTAGCCATACGTCTTAAAAATTAAGATTGTGCAGAAATTTGAAAAACTCTAAAATTAAATCTTAATTTGGAAACCGATTTTGTTCCAAGAACTGCAGAAGTGCAGCTTCCAGTTAAATTTTGAGTGAAAGGATGTTTCCAAAATTCTGCACGGTTGCATATTTTAAGGCAATAATCCTAAAGCTAAGACTGTGATGGACCAGAAGGTATTGATGATCCCCCACTTGCTATTTGGCACCTCGCCCACACATCTGATCTTCCCACAGTGAGTATCAGCAGCCTATGTTACCATGGAGAGTGGATAGGGATCACAGTCAAGCCTAACCTTGTCCTGACCCAACATCTATCTACTTCTCAGCCATGAGGAATATACAGTACTTGCCTTTAATCTGGTCTGAATCGAGGATGTTCTCTGGGATTCCCTCTTACGATACTGGCTCAGTCGCTCCAGCTGATCTGGGTGGTAAAACATTCCTGAGGCCCATTTTAATGCCGCTCCTCGGGCCAACTTCTCCGCCTTCTCAAACTCCGGCCATGGGGCATCTGTAAGAACACGGCACACAGAGGAGGGATGTGGGTGCTCACAGTACTTTGGCTGGACTGGAATCCCTGAGATCCATCACACTCAGAACCTCTTCTGTGACCTTTCAACTTGCACCTTCGGTGGCACAGCAGACACCATGGCAATTCAGATTACTTCTGTGCAGTAATTTCTGTTTCCGTTTAGTGTTTGGATTCTGTTTGTAGTCTGACACATTGATGAAAATATATTACAGTTTTCCCAAGCATCTCTGCTGAGCTCCATTCACAAATTCAATAAACTTATTAGTTTATTGGTCCTTTAATCCACTCATAAATTCCTTGGCAGTAAGTAACATCAAGAGCTATCAAATGGGGAGTGAGCACCAGCACAGACTCGATGGGCCAGATGGCCTCCTTTGTGTTATAATTTCCACAAATCTATATTGCGGATCATGCCTTTGCAAAACTCATGGAGGAGTTTTGAAATCTCATCCAACAAATGATAAAGCCAATTGAAGAAAGAAGCAAGATTTGTGAGAGGGAAAAATGTTAACCCGTTTTTTTTAAAAATAGTACAGTGAAAACTCACTTTAAGGTCACCACACTAACGTGATCAGTTTTATAGCGTTTCTCATTTTGACTACAAAATACACGTCCACAACACTTTACAGTAATTCCTGTGAAGGGTTTTGATGATGTGATAAGATGCTATGTCAAATGCAAGATTATTACTACTTCAACAATTACTATTATGTGTTACAGTAATATAAACTCGTTTGTGAGGTCAAAATGGCTCAGACCATTTGCTAACCTTATTAGTGAGTATACCTTTAACTTTCATTTTCATGTCTGCAATGTGCATTTGGCAGAAGCTGACTGCGCAGGTGACGTTTAACAAGTTAGTTCGCACTCTGTCACGAGTACATGCCGGGCCTCAACTGTGCAACTCTATTCCTCCCAGTTGCAACTCTACCAACAGAGAGACTCAGGATTCCATCACAGTCCTTTCAGTCTGGGTTTTTAGCCAATGCAGTCTGTTTGAAATAGGGGCTATCTGGTGATGGGTCAGCTGAGAATGATGGAATAGGTTGCAACTCCGCAGTCAACGGGAGTGATCTGTGGAGAGCTCGGGAAACACAGTTGCCAAATAGCCAGTGATGGAAGATTGCTACAGAGGACCTTATAAAGGAGCTGTGGCAGTTTCCTAAGTCTAAAAGAATCAAAGTGAAAATTATACGTAGTAGTTGGGTTCCTGTTTCCCTGCCTCCAATTTTTGTACTGTACTCCTGAATCAAGATTGAATTTAACAATTGTCCTTGATTTTAACACTCTAAAATGCTAAGTCTGAACCCAGGTGGAATCCCCACTCCCCCCCCCCATGCAGCATACAGACATTTTCCACAGGGATTATTAGATATGGTGATCGGCAGTACGCACTCTGCCATCTCCCTCCTTCCCGAGTTCAGAGTCCTTGAGTTCAATTTAGTATCTCTTCTGACACTCAGGCAGCAAACAGCTAACTCAGCAGAGAACAAGATCAAACCAGAGACCTTAACTGAATACTTCTATCAAATGAATAAAAGTGTGGAGTCCCGTAGTGTGGTGATTAGCGTGCTCGCCTCACAAACCAGAGGACCCGGGTTCGATTCCGAGACAAGGCACAACCTTAGGCACGTTTCCTTATTCCACACGCCTCTGTCTAATTAGCATTAAGTAGAAACACGAGTCGATTGGTGGATCATTTTGCGGAGGTAAAAAAAAAATTCAAAAAAATGTAAATATTTGGTCACTCAATGCATTCATGGTTGTGGGTCACCGCTGTGCGCAATTGCCTGCCGCGTTTCGCCCACAAATTAAATACTCAATCCACTTTAAAATATATTTTATGAAGCACTTTATGACGTCGCAACAATGTGATGCTATATCAAACACAGGGATTAGTACGATTATTATTAAATCTAAAGCCATCTAATATCTACACTGAGTATTTACTTCCAGCAGCAGACAATTTTCCAATGATTTGCACTGTGCCAGGATTCCAGCCCAAACACCACCAGCATCGCTGGGTTGATTGCAGACCACGATAAACACGTACAGCAAAGTGTCAGCGGTCAGCCCGAGACAGACTCCAGACTGCAACAATGTCAGGTGATTTTTTTTCAATGATTCCCCAACGTATCACAGCAAAGCACAGAGCAAAATGTGGATGAAAGAATGACCATTACAAGATTATGAAAATGTGGAACAGAATATTCTTATTAAATGTGTTCCCGTAACTGACTGAAACATTGTTACGCGTTGGAGAATGGACTGCATGGCTGGGCCTTTACAGTGCCTGTACAAACTCCTTTTTCTCATGTAAAGATAACATTACGGTGGTGGGGGGTGGGGGGGGTGGGTGGTGTTGGGGGTGTTGTGTGGGGAGTTATTCAAGTTTTAAAACCTTTCATCCAAAGGGCAATGCTAAAACAGAGGGATTCAAAGGTCAGTGGTGAGGCCACAGCAGCACATCAAAGGAAATGGCTAGTTTTCTATCCACCTTCAAAGAGATTCATTTTGTGCCTTTGAAAATTATTGAAGAATTTTAAGGAGAGGTGCTATTGCTTTGCAAGTGAGAGACCTGAGTTCAATTCCCGGCAGAGGGCGAAACCTTGGGCAAGTTTCCTTACTCCACACAGAGCCTAATAATGATCCCTCCAAAAAAAAACAATAATAAATTGGTCATTTTCAATCTACGACTGTTTGTGGGACATTGCTGTGCGCAATTGGCTGCCGCGTTCGCCCACAAATATACAGTCAATTCACTTTACAGTATATTCTGTGAAGCGCTTTGGGACGTCCTCCCGACGTGAAAAACGCTATATCAAATGCAAGGATTTTTATTATTATTATTGGAATGGGCTGTTCACCTCCAGAGCGGAGGTGGTGCAGTGAATTTTGATACCAACAAAGGAATGAGACGGAGAAGAGGAAGAAAGTTAGGTTGGAGGATTTGAAGGTTAGAAGGAACAAGTATAGAAAATTCTGAGAAACAGTAACCATACCAGCGAGCATTAATGAGCCTCAAAGAAATAAGATTGCAGAGAGAGCAAGAGAGAGAGAGTTTGGAGCCAGAGGTGAGGGAAGGATCACTGCCACCCTTACAGTGTGAGGGGATTCCATAGCACAATAGCAACGCACACCACACACACGAGAACAGTTTGCATTTATACAGTATGCTTCACACAGGATAGCATCTCCAACAGAGGTGGAGCCTGTTATGGAGCTGGTGGAGGGTTGGTGGTGGCAGAGGGAGAAGGTCTTCAGGCTTGATCTAAAAAAGGGG